ATTGGTTTTCAATGCATTTATAAAAAAAAATTTTTTATTATGTCCCTGTACAGTATTTATGCCTTTAAAGTGCACTTTATAAAGAGTTTTGAACAGATAAGACTTTTTTCTGACCTCCGGAACGGATTAATTGGTTTTCAATGCATTTCTATGGGAAACCGTGTTTCAATTTATGAATTTTTCACAATACGAAAAGTCCCGCAGAAACAAATGAAATTAGTAAACCGAGGTATGCCTGTGTTTGTATTTTTCTTCCTTAGGCTCAGATCTGTGTCTGGTACCAACACATTTGTTGTTGCCCTGCAGCATCGAGACACACATACACACACACGCGGTCTTTAACTATCCTGATTTGCTCAGGGGTTGCGGTAATCTAGAAAATCAGCACAGCCTGCACATAACATCTGATTTTATAGTTACTGTATATCTATACAACTTTCAATGTTTTCACACTTGTAGGGCCTTACTGGCCTGCCTCGCCGCTGGCTATCCCCGCTTCAGTCAATCCTGAATACGGCTGCCAGACTCATTCACCTTTCTAACCGCTCCGTCTCCGCCACCCCCCACTCTGCCAATCCCTCCACTGGCTTCCAATTGCACAACGGATCAAATTCAAAATCCTAACACTGACGTACAAAGCTGTCCACCATACTGCCCCGAACTACATCACTGACCTAATATCCAAGTACCGCCCAACACGCACACTCCGCTCCTCACAAGACCTCCTTCTCTCTAGTTCCCTGGTCTCCTCCTCCCATGCCCGCCTCCAGGACTTCTCCAGGGTGTCACCCATCCTCTGGAACTCCCTGCCCCAACCCATCAGATTATCACCTACTCTCCTCTCTTTTAGGCGCACCCTGAAAACCCATCTCTTCAGGGAAGCCTACCCCACCCCCTGCTAACTTGCCGACCTCCTCCACTCTTCCTACCACTCCATCCCCACAGCTATCTCCTCCTGTGCCACCATCCCCTCCCTCCTAGATTGTAAGCTGGAAAGAGCAGGGCCCTCGATCCCCTCATGTTTTGCATTGTATTGTTATTGTTCTGTCACATGTTCCCCCCTTTGTAATGTACAGCGCTGAGCGAACTATTGGCACTTTATAAATACTGTATAATAATAATAATAAATATATATGTCATGGAGCAGTCATACATGATGTGGACATATGTGAAGCTGTATAAAAAGTGTAGTGTGGATACTGAAGGGAGGAAGAACATTTTTGCTGTTCCCAGTATGGAGATATCTCCTTATTTCCTGCACTGGTGACACTGTATCGTACCGTAACAGAAGGGTGTCACTGGGGCAGGATGCATAGAGGAAATAAAAACATAACAGGAACAAACTCTTCTTGTTCTATCCAAAACAAATCAAACATTTTGGCTAGAGGTGGGATTTTATCACACAGGTGCTCATCGGGGAGGTCGGGTAAGAGTACTGTAAACTGCAAAAACATACCTAAGGATCATATTGCATATGTCAAAAGGAAGATTTGAATGGCACAAATCATCATTATATATTGAAAGAATCACGATATGGACTTTTATCATTCATTAGTTTTTTGTTTATTTTTATTAGAATTTTTTTTCACATTGGAATTTTTTTTTTTTATTTTTAGCATTGGATAACCTTAAGAGAAGCGCGGCACAATTTTATGTTTTCTGTTTTTCGCACTTTTTTTATGAGTATCTGTAGGTGTGAGCATCTTTTCAATTTTATTTAATTTTTAGGGTTTTTTTTTGGATTGTTCGCAGGTTTTCACATTTATATATACTTAAGAATCACCATACACTATTTGTACAATGAACATTGGATTTACCATAATTATTTAACAGGGGGACCTACCGAATCTATCCAATCTGGTAGGCCCTTGCACTACATAGTTGTTGGTAGAGCTAAAGAAGATTGTACAATCAGATTGAAACGTGTGGAGAAATCAAGTCTTGCATTGGTCGGGTTATTGGTCAAGTGACGTTAAAGGATAAGTTCACCTTTGGGAACATGTCACATGTTCCACATGTTTTTAGGGTGGAACATGTAACATGTTCCCATAGCTGCAGCCGCACCCACAACCCCCCTCCTTCTAACAGATAATAAAGTTTCCCCGTACTGTCGGATTTGAAAACAGCGCGGCTGTGCGGGGCTCCACCCACACATCCGCATCATTAGTTCGGGGACTTCAGTGAATGAGTGCTTACAAGTCCCAGCAACCTTAGTGGCTGTGGGCTTGTAGTTTTCAATGAACTGCCACGGAGCTGTGGTAGTTCATTGAAGATTCCTATCAGAATATCAGCTTGACAGTACATCCCGTGCAGCAAGCAGATATTCAGACAGGTCTGCAGGACCCCTGCATGGCATCAGTGATCTACTGATCACTGGTGCAATTCTTTTCAGGCTCGTTTGGACAGAAATAATAAATGCACATTTTGTTTACCAGCAAAAAAATGTGCACTTATTATTTTTGTCCAAAAGGTGAACTTTTCCTTTAAAGCGAACTTGTTAGTTAGTTCTTGTGATCTGCAGCAGCACAGTGTTGTGGGAGTATCCAGATTCAGCAGACCTTTTATGAAGATGTTGCTGACGTTCGTGTCCTCCTGTTACCAGAGTCTGCTTCCACTCTTGAAGACCTGCTTAAAGCGGAGTTCCACCCGAAAGGGGAAGTTCCGCTTTAATGCTTTGTCCCACGCTCCCCATTAAGGATTAGCACCTGTGGGGAGCGGGTACCCGAATTTGACATGTACCCGCTCCCACTTCCGCTTCGATCACCTAGGTGATCTGAAGCGGAAGTTGTCCTCCCTCCCTGTAGTCTTCTGGGACACGTGACAGATCCCAGAAGACTATGTGGCCATTTACAAAGCGCAGCGCTTCTCGCACCTAGGCGATCGGAAGCGGAAGTTGTCCTCCCTCCCTGTAGTCTTCTGGGACACGTGACAGGTCCCAGAAGACTATGTGGCCATTTACAAAGCGCAGCACTTCTCGCACCTGGGCGATCGGAAGCGGAAGTTGTCCTCCCTCCCTGTAGTCTTTTGGGACACGTAACAGGTCCCAGAAGACTACAGGACCATTCAGGAAGTGCAGCGCTACTCGCACATGCACAGTGGGCACCCGGCTGTGAAGGCGCAAGCTGTCACAGCCGGGTGCTCACACTAAAGATGCCGGCGCCAGGGAGAGAAGACGGCCAGTGAAACCGGCAGTGGTGAGGACACCGCTGGACCGAGGGACAGGTAAGTGGCTGTATTTTAAAAGTCAGCAGTTAGTTTTTCGTATTTTTCAGCAACTTTTCTTCTGGAGGTCATACCTATGCGGAGAGCCCTATGAAAACTGGTAACACAGTGTTCGCATGAACAGAGTGCGATTGTGATGCGGAGCAGGAAACGTACAGGAATCGCTGTGAATCCTGCACAGCAACAGTGTGAACTGGCACTGAGATGTGAAGTTCAGTTTACATTCCGGAACAGATCCTGCGTGTCGGGATGACTGAACTCCTGCACATGTGATGTCATTCCACGCCAGCCAATGAAGATGGCTGTAGTCCAGTACCCAGAAAAAGGCGGGTAAATCACCCCGCCAGACCACTGAAAGAAAGAGAAGTCTCGCAGACTTTAGTTTTGCTTTAGGTCCATTCAAGTCCTCATTCCATCATTCTAAGCCATGATGACGGGGAAGTGGTGTTGCCTCTGAAACACACTGAATATTTTTTACGTGACTGAATTGCAAAAAATAAAAGCATTTTGGACTCTTTCACTGTCTGGTTTGGTGTTCATTTGTGATGTCTATACTTTTGGGCAAATTTACTAAAACTGGAGCACTCAGAATCTGGTGCAGCTGTGGGAGCCAATTAGCTTCTAACTTTAGCTTGTTCATTTAAAGCGGAGCTCCACCCAAAAGGGGATCTTCTGCTTTAAAGACTGGTCCCCCGCTCCCCATTAAGGATTGGCACCTTTGGGGGGGGGGGGGGAGCGAGTACCCGAATTTGACAGGTACCCGCTCCCACTTCTGCTCCGATCGCCTAGGCCAGTGGTGGGCAACCTTTTTTTTCAACTGAGCCAAATCTCGCCAAAACCACGATTTAAATTTATTTTGAGAGCCACATTTTTAAAACTGAAAATACATAGGATGGTACACTGTTTTTAGTTTCAATAAGTTTTTATAGTAATTCATCCCCCCATATAGTAATTCATCCCCCATAGTAATTCATCCCCCATATAGTAATTCATCCCCCATATAGTAATTCATGCCCCATATAGTAATTCATGCCCCATAGTAATTCATCCCCCATATAGTAATTCATCCCCCATAGTAATTCATCCCCCATATAGTAATTCATCCACCCTATAGTAATTCATCCCCCCTATAGTAATTCATCCCTCATATAGTAGTAGTAAGTAAGTAGCAAGTAGTAAGCCAAGTCCCCCCTGTGTCAAATCACTTACCTTTGCTCCGCGCGTTCCTCTCGCCGTGTTCCTGCGCCGTTCCGGTCTTCAGGGCGGACTGTGAGAGGAGCCTAGCTCCTCTCACGTTCGTCACGCCTACACACATCCTGACAGCCAATCACTGGCTATCAGGATGTGAGTGGCAGCGAGACTGGCCAATCATTGCATTTGAGCGCGCTGCCCTGGCTGTTTTTTTTTTGGATCACGCTGCAGAGTCCCTGCCGCCCGAGAGGAGGGAGGGGAGCGGGCGCCCGGCACACAAGAGCCGCATTAAAGCGTGTAAAGAGCCGCATGTGGCTCGCGAGCTGCGGCTTGCCGACCACTGGCCTAGGCGATCGGAAGATGTCCTCCCTTCCTCCCTGTAGTCTTTTGGGACTGGGACATGTGACAGGTTCCAGAAGACTACAGGACCATACAGGAAGCGCAGCGCTTCTCGTGCATACACAGTAGGTACCCGGCTGTGAACCCGCAAGCCGTCACAGCCAGGTGCCCACACTGAAGATGCCGGCACCCAGGGAGAGAAGACGGCTGGTAAAACGGGCTGCGGGGGACACACCGCAGGACCGAGGGACAGATGAGTGTGTGTTTTTTAAAAGTCAGCAGCTACAGTTTTTGTAGCTGCTGACTTTTATTTTTTGACAGTGTGAGTGGAACTCCACTTTAAGCTTTGGCAATAAAACCTGGAAGCTGATTGGTTTCTATGCAGAGCTGCACCTGATTTTGCACTCTCCAGTTTTAGTAAATAACCCTCTTTGAGTCACTTCTGTGTACCTATCGAGGGAGGCCTGTTTGTTTTAGGCGCTGCTTTACCAATTACAGAAAGCTTGTTCGAAAACATCTTTGCATTTGATTGTTTGACCATCGACTAAAATCCCAGTGCCTGTTAAACAATTCTATTTGGAGGTAAATATATATGACTGTAAGATCAGAGAAGGGCCCAAACTTTGCAAAGTGATCCAGAATGTGGCATGTGGATCCAGCACAGTGTATATTTCCTTATGCATGTAGCGGAGACCTCTGCATTTATTTACACGCAGGCTTTGTTTGGGTTTCCTTTGCTGGCTCCTAAGAGACTTTGTTTATAGGCTTGTAGAAAGTAGGCAGGTATGATGTTATGGACAGCAGCATGGCAGTGAGTGATGGCATCTACATTCCCTAGCGAGTGTAGACATGACAAGTACTTGACAAGACAATAAAAACTCAGTTTTCAAGTTCATCTCAAAGTTTATTCATAGAGCAGCCTTAAATCTGACAGGTTGTTGATTCTGTACAGAAACCTGTGCATTAGACAGCTTACATTATAAAAAATGTACTTTCCCCCCCCCCCCTCCACAAGAACGCACCCTCGCTGATGTCCCCAGAAGGCACGGTTCTTAAGGCAGCACTGGTTGGGTCTGTATTCCCAGCAACAATGGAAAAAACACAAGTGGTGCAACCAAGCAGGGCCACCCCAAGATGAAAAGAGAAAAGCAGGGTGGCGCCACCTACAGGTAGTATGATGTCAGATTTAGGGGAGGCATCGGATCAATATACTCAGTGCTGGGTGATGGATAGCTCCCAATATTAACACGCAAACAGGCCAGCGAGACATTGGTACACCAGCATTCATTCGGACTCACAAGACAAAAGCGCAAACGGCAACACTTGAAAGCACAATACATCACATAACAGAGCACCTATCCTCTTTGCCTAGGCAGCCATTTTTATAAAGGAGCCTGTCGGTGATCATGGTTTCTAGTAAACAGATAGGGTGTATTGTTAGTAATACTAGTTGAGTTCACAACATGGCTGTGTCTATGCCTTTTGGATGCTAACTACTCACAATTTGTCTTTGAAAGAGCAAAGACCAGGACCGCGATTTCGAATGCGTCTGCAATTAGCTGGGGATTTGTCAGGCCTTTTTGCATGTAAAAGGCGGCTGGGTATTGACCATGGGCAGCACAATGGCCAAGGAGTCAAAACTGTAACCAACAAGGTGCTAAGGACACTGCGATGAAATATATTATTAATTCCTCAAAGACAAAGTATATATGTCACAGAATAATTGACATACTTCTTATATTGCTGTTGCTTTTTATGAAGATTCTTTTCAGCAGAATCTTCCATCCAAATTGATGCCTGCTGTACTTCCTCTTATAGAGTGGCTATGCTGACAATCACCCTAGGTTCACATCTGTGCGGGTGGTGCCACTGCGGATCCGCACGAAAATCTGTGCAGCCGCACCACCCGCACAGAAAATGCGGACCCGCGGGCGGGTGCCGTTAGTTCTAATAGCACGCTGCCCGCACTGGAAAATGCAACCGTACTGGGAACCGAGGTTCCCATGCTGGCTGCGTTTTGCAAAGAAGTGCAGGGACTTATTTCCCTGCGTGTCACGGGGCACGGGAAATTATTCAAATGAATGGGCTCTCGTGCCCACGCAAAATGCGTCCCGCACGACCGCATAGATGTGGGGTCAGGGTCTCCCTAAAGCCCTAGTATAGCCATCTATTCATAGTGTGTGTGCGTGTGTGTGTGTGCGCGCGTGCGTGTGTGTATATATATATATATATATATATATATATATATATATATATATATATATATATATATAATATAGCAACAGGTGGTAGGTGCACTCAAGGGGACTTACCTTGATTAAAGCACATTGGAAAATTCCTCCTGCTGTAAGTGTTTTGGTCTCGCTGAAACACTGACATTGATTAAACCACGTTGGAAAATTCCTCCCGCTGTAAGTTCCCTTGAGTGCACCTACTGCCTGTTTGTTGCATATTCTACATACTTTCTCCATGGATTGCACCCATGCCAATACCCCTACACGTGTGTGCGGAGACCCATCTCTACATATGTGTGTGTGTATGTATATATATATATATATATATATATATATGCTGTATATAAATAGGCAATCTAAACTTGTACTACATTTTCTCAAGCTCACCTTGAACATCCTTGACAATATCTCAATGTCCTTCACAAGGCACACCTACACTGTCTTTCCTGCTCAGCATGGCTCTACAATCTGTGTGATCAGCTTAGCCTTTATAAACATTTGTCACATCTCAAAAAGCCTCTATTTAAAAACAGAACTTGCTCTTTCAGAAATACTGAACATGTTGCCTCTTTCGGCCTACATTTTCCATAACATTCATGATGCCCTAAGCCACTGCCAAAAAACTACTTCTAGAAAACCGTGATTTGGGGTACTAAACGACCAGCCACAAATGACAAGCTGCAGACCGATCAGTTGTTATTAAAGATCGTTAACATAATTTAATTTTGAGGCTGGAAGATGGAGAGAAGGTCTACTTATCAGAAAGTCCATTACTAAGAGCGGCCAAAGTGGGGTATGAGAAAGCGGCAGATCCAAACATCTGCAATAATGGTGGAAGGGTAAACTGGGATGGACTTCCAGCACACAGTACAGACTTTGCACACCGACGGCTGTACATTTTATTTCCAATTCGGAAAAGCGAGCAAATCCTTGTCTGTTGTGCACCACATTGGTTCTTCAACTATGTCAGGGTAAAGCCAGGAAGATGGTCCAATGGGCAAGTAAATCTTCCAGCTCCTGGTAAAAATATCAGTTAGAATATAAATGTCAGCCATCCTTATGAGGACACAAATGTTTCTGTACTCATCTTCAGGCAGACACTTGGTGTTGGCTATAGGTAACTACTAGTTGGCACTTGTTTTTTGAAAAAATGAGTCAAATGGTTCAAAAGTTGGGTTAGACTGTCTGATACTTAAAACTGGTCTGGCAATAACATTCTTGAAATACAGCCGCACATCGCTGATCTCCTGTGTACAACTTACTGTCATCAGCTACAAAGACTCCCTACTCACTTCCTTTTCAACGCATTTCGCTCCCTATTGGGTGTTAACAAAAGGGCTGAAGGGGGAGACACAAAGGGCTCCAGAAGGGTTCCCAAGGAGATAGGAGTAGCTTAAAATGTAACAGCCTTGGAAAAAAGTCACAGCAAGTTTGGAGGCTATTATGAATAATGGTACTATGAACCATCATAAATAAAAGACTGAATATAAAAAAGCAACGAGGAATCAAAACACTTGTTCATGTGACATGAATTTGGTCTTTGTTTGAACATGTTTTGGGCCTCATGCACACTGCTGCTCATACATGTGAGTTTAGGAGCTTTTGGCGTTTTTTTTTTTGCCCAAAGCCCCTGAACTCAACTCCATAAAAGCCGACGTGTCCATGTGCACACAGGCTTTTACCAGAGTTTATCAGCAACAGAATTTAGGGGGCAGTTAGACATCCCTCAACTGAACGCAGAAGAATGGCATTCAGGAGTGGAACGTTTTGGGCAAAAATCGCCAAATGTGTAAATGTGCCTAAGCGTTAGCCACGTTTAGTTCCTGGGCATTTATTCATTTCAGTGGCCACTGAAATAAACATCCAAGCAGTAAATGTGGTACTGCGTTTGCACGCGTTTTTGTGGCATTTAGCGTTTTTTTTGCTGCCAGTAGAGTACGCGTTCCAACGTACATGTATTCTTACAGCCAAATTCAACTTGCTTGTTCCTCTGTTTGCATTTGTCACACAAATGCAAAAAAGTCAACTTTCCAGAGCTTTATTTGCTGAACAAAATTCTTTAACCCATGTATTCTTACAGCCAAATAACTTGCTTGTTCCTCTGTTTGCATTTGTCACACAAATGCAAAAAAGTCAACTTTCCAGAGCTTTATTTGCTGAACAAAATTCTTTCTAACCCATTTTTTTTCGTCTCTGAGAGACTATCTACAGTGTTGTTTTAAACATAATACTAACACTAATGAGCCCCATAGGAGTGAAACAGGCTCCATAGTTGTGAATCATTTCCAGCCACCTTGCCGAACGTTCAAAGCCCAGACTGAAAGTGCAGCACCATGCGTGGCAAACCCCATACATTTGCCCTTCTGAATGGCAGTAGCTAATCTGCTTTCTGTTCGACATTTTTGCAGAATATGACGTGGAAAAGGAAAAGCTAAATTGCAAGCAGACATTAGTGGTTTCTAATACTAAAAGACATAAAAGAAAAAAAAAAAGCAATAACTGCATAATAAACAAGCTAGATAGTAAATGTAAAGTATATCCCTATCCTAAATAAAATTGTAAAGGTCTCATTATATAAGATGACACCCAGAAGTACACCTCCCAACTTTGGAAGGGTAATGGGATTTTATGGTCGAAGTTAGTGTTTCGGGCTCATGTACACGGGGCGTTTGGAAAACTCTTCTGAACGATGGAAACTGACTTCTGGAAAAATGTAGGTTAAAAAAAGTCAGTTTAGCCGCGTTTCCATACCGCGTTTAGCCGTGTTTGCGTTTAGAAGCGTTTTTAAAAGATAACCTCAGGAGACCTTCCCAAATGCCCAGAATGCACTGAAAAATAGTAAATAATTAACAATTTCAGACATTTTGAGAGAAATAGAGAGAGCAGTATGTGTTGAGATGACCTGTCTTTTCTGGTTGTATTCACTATGGATCCCATTATGAGCATAACGCGGCACGTTCTACCATTTTTTTCCTTCACGTGAAACCTGGAACTGACTGCGCTGGTGTAACGGGTCCATTTGAATACATGGAAACCGCTTTGCATGCATTTCTGATGATGAAAAAAGGTTCTGGACAGCAACAGTTAAAAAACACTTCTAAACGCAAACGCTTATAAGCGCGGTTAACCGTGTTTAAAAGCGTTTGGCATTTGAAACGCTGATAAAATCTACTCCTGAACACAAGTTTGGTGCTTTCGAAAAAATGACTGTAAACTAGGGGCGGACTGACAACTCCTGGGGCCCCCGGGCAATAGGGGATTATGGGGCCCGTGTCCTTGCCCATACTCAAAAAAAGCCTATGGAAAAAGGTACCAGGGGCATCTCATGGGGCCCCCTACTGACCCCGGGCCCTCGGGCTGTGCCCGAGTTTCCAAATGGTCAGTCCACCCCTGCTGTAAACAACATAGTGTACATGGACACATAGGAAAACATTAGAAAGAGTTCAGGGGCTGCTAAAAAAAACGCTGAACAGCTCCTGAACGTCAGTTTAGCAGCTGCAGTGTACATGAGCCCTTAGGGTCGGTGTTAGTTCTGGTCATGTCGTTTTCTCACAATGAGTGCTCAGTCACAATACTTTAAGGCATCCTAGTGGTTTACCAGTATTAAAAAAAAAACAAACTAAAAACAAAAATAAAACACAACATCAAGTGGATACAGAAAGAAGTCAGTGCACGTAAAAGACTCCTCTAGACTACAAACATCCTGTTAACCAAATACAGGGAATATGTGTCAGTTTTATTCTACACAAGGGGTAGGTAGTATGAAGCCATGGTTAATACTGCAAGTAAAGGCGGGAGAGGTAGAGTGTCTTGAAAACATGGACGGAGATGCCTCCACCAAGATCATTAGTCTACGGGAGGACTATCTAGACACACTTTGCTCTGTCCCTATCCTGGGCTTTAAAAAAAACAAAAAAAACACACAGAAAACTTGAGAATTGGAAGCTCCAATGCACCCAACACTGTTATGGTTGATCAGCCAGCTTAAGGGAGGAAGGGCAATGGTCACAGGGAGTGTGCAGCCTGTAGAATCCTCCCCGTCCATTGGATACTGCATTAGAGTCATTGCAGGAAACCATTGCTTTCACACTGTGGTTTCCCGACCAGATTTGAGATTGGGAGCCGAGTACTGACGTCTCATGCGAGGTGGGGTGACAAACTGATTGTGATAGTGAGGTCGGTCACCCTGCTTGTTGTTATAAGAGGTATGGCTGCCTTCGTTACCACCAACATAATGGTTCCCCCAGTTTTGCTGCCTTTGTGGATGCCCCTGGGGGGCTGTTGCTGGAAATACTGGTAGTCAGTCTGCTTTGATTCAGAGGACTGAAGTGACTCAGACGATCCAGATGCTTGGCGCCTTAGTCCCTTCTGATAGCCATTCAAGGAGTTACTTCTCCATCGGCCAGAGGTGTTATCGTTGTCGTCGTTGTTGGCATGTCCCCGGGACTGCTGCTGCACTAAATGTTGGTTGCGCAGGTGACTGAAAGGGCTCCAGATTTGTTTCTCGGGTTCTACCTCATCTTGTTCTTTAATTTCGTCTTCCTTTGGGATTTTAACTTCTATAACTTTATCATCTGTAATGATGATGTGTGTCCCTGGACTCCAGGAACTTCGATGACTGGGATTGCTTTTGAAGGGGAACCGTGGTTTACGGTTCTCTGGAGGGATGAAGCGATGAGGTCCGTTGCGCCTGAGCTGCTTTGCGATTTCCTGTTGCTGAAGGTTTTTAAACTTAATTTGTTCCTGCCTCATCCATTGTGTCCGCCCTCTATGAAACATGGCATCACTACTGTCTGTCTGCTGGTAGACTTCTTCATTGTTGGGATCAAAAGTTTTACATATATCACTTTCTGTTCCTTTATCACGCTCAGCACTAGAACCTCTCTGTCTACGTTCACCTTGTGGACCCATGAGGGGCAAAACTTTCTCCATTTTTAACATTTTGTTTCGTAGTGCTTTTATCTCCTCATCCTTCATGTTATTCTGGTTCTTCACTTCTTGCAAAATGTCTTCCAGTTTGTCAACATGAACCTTCAGGTCATCAACATCCGAGGCACCCTTTCCAACAGGCACTACATCCTCAATCTTCTCATCTCCCACTCCAACTGTGTCCCAGACATCCCGAGCCACTGCCCTCCAAGAATCACGTTCATTTGGATCCTTTTTTCCATACATGGAGCAGAGTTCCTTCATTTTGACTATGGCCAGTGCTTCAATCTCTTGTCGACTATGTTGAAAGTCATTAAGTGCAACTTCATAACAGATTTCCTTCACGGCTTGGATTTTAAGGTCAGAAATGGTTACCCACTTAGAATCTTTGCTCAGTCTCCGCCTCTGTGGGATATGATACATTTTATTTGGCTCCCGTTTCTTTCCGCTACTGGGTAGGCCACACTTTTTAACGATGCTTTGCACTTTGCTGGGAGGAAGCTTCTCCCGTAAGGATGTGATCAGCCGCCAGCTCTCTTCGCATGACCGTTTCTCGGAGTCGTCCCCGCTGTCCGAGTCCGCGTCCTTGAGAAAGAAAAAAAATCAAAATGGCCCCAACAGAAACCAGAAAAAATGGAAAACACTAAAAAAAAAAAAAAAAAAAACAACAAATGGCAAAAAGAAAGAAAGGACATGAAATAAACTAAAGAAACAACAACAGGATGTGAAAAATAAAATAAAATGTTGGGGTGATGTTTTTGAAAAGGTGAACTAAACTTTCAGTTCTCACCTATCACGTGTGAGAAGTTGGAAGAGAAGATAGGCAGCCTTCGTTAAAAGAGCACAGAGTTAGAGATGGTGAAACAACCCATGCCCAACGCACACAGGCCACATCCTGAGTCTCTTCGCACAGCAAACCCACCACGCCAAGATGCAAGTAGGCAAAGACAGCCAAGAAGAAGGTCAGTAAACTGTGGTTAGTAAATGCAGATTTCAGATGCTGGTGCTTAAACTCAGTTGCAGTGCTTGGTGAGATAAGTATTCAAGAGAAAGGACAAGGTGTTACATAAGCCTTTGGTGTAGAGGGCAGTCCACCATGTGGGTCAACGAGATATGTTCGTGAGGTGTCATTGGAAGCCAATAAATATCTAATAGTTTTCAAATCCTGAAGACATCAATTTTACTACCAATCGAACACTCTGTACTCGGTGCAACTCTGTAACCAGGCTCGTGGTTACAGGCTCCCTACCTGACCTCTGTTGGTGTCACAAAGGTAGGTGTAGCGGCTGAGCCTCTTCAGTGACGCAAAGCATGCTAAACATGTAGGTTCAGAGCAAGGGCGGACTGACCATTTGGAAACTCGGGCACTGCCCGAGGGCCCGGGGTCAGTAGGGGGCCCCATGAGATGCCCCTGGTACCTTTTTCATAGGCTTTTTTGAGTTTGGGCAAGGACACAGGGGCCCCATGATCCCCTATTGCCCGGGGGCCCCATGAGTTGTCAGTCCGCCCCTGGTCCCCCCCATCACTAATCAATACTCTGTACATCACTGATCAATACTATGCCCCCCCCCCAATCACTGATCAATACTCTGTACTTCACTGATCAATACTATGCCCCCCAATTCACTGATCAATACTCTGGGCAAGGACACAGGGGCCCCATGATCCCCTATTGCCCGGGGGCCCCATGAGTTGTCAGTCCACCCCTGGTCCAGAGTCACTGCCTGCCACTGTACTCATCATTGACTCTGAGTCCGCAATTTTAACAGGTTTACTGTCACTGAGCTGACTGCAAGCGTGTTCTACCGACAGCGCTACTGCCCATCTTTGCCATGAGGGCGGCATTGGGCTCTGGATAGGCTTAGTACAGTGGTGGGCAACTGCGGCCCTCCAGCTGTCATGGAACTACATGTCCCATGAGGCATTGAAAGGCTGACAGTTGCATCACGTCTCGCAGAGGCATGATGTGACTTGTAGTTCCACAACAGCTGGAGGGCCACAGTTTGCCCACCCCTGGCTTAGTAAGTTACTAGAATAAAATGCCTCTGTTGTCAATGAATAGACTTTATAGACCAATCAACCATGATTTGCTATATACTGTACCAAAGGGAAGACTAAAGCAGGATGCTCAAAGCAAATTACAAACCTTAAAAAAAAAACCAAAAAAAAAAAACCAAAGTAAATTCTAATAATATACGCGGTTGTTTACCATAATGCTCAAATTAATTACCCTAGTACTGCTGTGACACGACAACCAATAGGAAAGCAAGGACCGTTGGGGACCTTTTTTGTGTGATTAACAAAAGTATTCTTAACAGTGTCTGTTAATGGTTTATAAACCTTCAAGTGCACCCGTGCCCCAACTATACCAGCTTAAGTATTCACAATTTCTAAACGTGCAGTAAAAGCACTTTAAAACAAGCTAAAACTCCCCTCTGTATCTAAAGGGATTATGGAGAAATTAATCTTCAAATTTTACAACAGAGGCACTGAAACTACAGCTCCTCGCGTCTTAGGCCCCATTCGCACTATGACGCATGGCGGAAGGCTTGGTGCATTCGTGCGCGCTTTTTTGTGCGCTGCCAGACTCATCCACCTTACTAACCGCTCCGTATCTGCCACCCCTCTCTGCCAATCCCTCCACTGGCTTCCAATTACCCAACGGATAAAATTTAAAACCGCTAACACTGAGGTATAAAGCTGTTCATAACACTGCCCCAAACTACATCACCGATCTGGTCTCCAAATACACCCAAAACGTACTCTCCGCTCCTCACAAGACATATATTCAAATGTAAGTGCTGCGCTAAAGCATAAGTGACAAATGCAATCATAGAGTGCGGAATAGAAGTGTTCCTATAAACGTCTCAGATCATATAAAATCATAGAATCATAAAAAAACTCTAAAAATCTGAACATAAATAGTGAATATAAATAGTCCGTGGCACTACAGGTCACAGAAGTGCCAAGTGATTTGCTTTTTAGCAATATTAGTGATTATATATAGTCCGTGGCACTACAAGGTGCAGCAATACCAGCTGGGATGCTCGAGAGTGCTCATGATCCAACATACGAATCCACCACCACCTTCTATGGATGTGCGCTCACCAGAAAGCTACTTTTATAATCGCGTTAATGCCGATCGTTATGGGGGGGGGGCTCAGGAAGCCATAAATAGGGACCGGACTTCTCCAGGGTCAGGACTATGCAAAACCAGCAAAGGATCCTCCTAGGGCAGGGGTAGGCAACCTGCGGCTCTCCAGCTGTTGCAGGACTACAAGTTCCATCATGCGTCTGCAAGTCATAGCTGTAACTGTCAATTTTGCAATGTCTCATGGGAAATGTAGTTCCACAACAGCTAGTGAGCCGCAGATTGCCTACCCCTGTCCTAGGGGGAGAAGCTCACCATAGGAGCCGAAGGTATTACAATATAGCGTAGTATTTATTGTAAATAGTTAAAAGTAATCCACGTGGATACAGCAAAGAGTTAAATGCATAAAAGCATATCAAGATGGCCGATGGACGCTCCAAACTCCGGCCACGACGGCGTGATGCCAGCACTTAAGAGGGTGAGCCTTCACTAGTTATGTTCAGATTTTTAGAGTTTTATTATGATTCTATGACTTTATATGATCTGAGACGTTTTCATTGTATGAATACTTCTGGACAAGGGGGCACTCTTTATGTCTGGAGGAAAAGAAATGTAATCTCCAAACGCAGAGTTAAATGCATAAAAGCATACCAAGATGGCCGTCGCTCCGAACTCCGGCCACGACGGCGTGACGTCAGCACGCCTTCACTATTTGTATTCAGATTTTGAGTTTTTTTAATGATTCTTTGATTTTATATGATCTGAGACGTTTTTATTGTATGAACACTTCCGGACAAGGGGGCACTCTTTACATCTGGAGAAAAAGAAATTTAATCTGCAAACACAAAGAGCTGAATGCATAAAAGCATACCAAGATGGCCGCCGCTCCGAACTCTGGCCACGACGGAGTGACGTCAGCACGTAAGGGGGTGAGCCTTCACTATTTAAGTTCAGATTTTGAGTTTTTTTTATGATTCTTTGATTTTATATGATCTGAGACGTTTTTATAGAATGAATAGTTCTGGACAAGGGGGCGCTCTTTACGTCTGGAGGAAAAGAAATTTAATGTCCAAACACGGAAAGGTTTCTTCACAGTAAGAGCTGTGAAAATGTGGAATAGACTCCTTCATGAGTTGGTTCTGGCCAGCTCAGTGGATTGATTCAAAAAAGTCCTGGATTCTTTCTTGGATACACAGAAAATAACTGGATACTAACATTTATAGGTAAAGCTGATCCAGGGAATATCCGATTGCCTCTCGGGGAATCAGGAAGGAATTTTTTTTCCCAGCAGGAGCAAATTGGATCATGCTTTGCTGTTTTTTTTTTTTTTTTTTGCCTTCCTCTGGAACAACTGTAGGTGTAGGATTATAACTTTTTTTTTTTTCTATGGTTGAACTGGATGGACTTTTGTCTTTTTTCAGCCAGACTAACTATGTAACCAATTGCAATTCCTGCCTGATCTGTTGTAGTAAACTGGTTTTGAGTCTGATTTTGAGTCAATATTCACATAAGCACTCTATGACTGCATTTGTCACTTATTCTTTAGTGCTGCACTTACATTTGAATTGATTTTGGGTTTGTTACCTTGCCTTTTGTGCTAGCGGCTACCATATTATCTGCGCTCGTCTTATATCTCATGTTAAAGCTCAGAATATATTGCTGGCAATGTATCAGGATAACAACCAGGTCTAGCATTTCCATCAGGAGGTCAGAAATAGCACCTCCCAACCTCGTCATTTTCACAAGGTAAGTTTACTAAGCTAATCACCTTCCCTGATATGTAGATGACTATTAGAGGGAGCATTCACAAATCTGCATATGAAATGCTATCATCAAAATATTGAAGAGCAAGAAAGTAAATAATGTGATAAGCAAATCAAAAATCAACTGTCTGCAAAACGCTACATAGTAACTGTGAGGGTTAAAAACCACAATATGAAGGAAAACAGCTCATCTGCTTGAACTTTATACTGTATGTTGTATAGATATACAGAAATCTAATCTAGGGGGTGCATTTTATCTGAGACAACATAAAAATGTCTATTTTAGGAAGTATGTATCTAGAACAGGCATGACTTGGCAGTCTTTTTATTCTATACAGACATATGTGGGGAACTAACCGTTTACACGGTGTATTGTTTATTATGATTGAAAAACCATAGATAGATGTTGCAATTTAAAGGAAACCAAATACAGGTGTACCTTGGTTTACAAACTGAATTTGTTCTCCGTTACTTTTCGGATTGCGAAAAATTCGTAACGCGGTTTCCCATAGGAATGCACTGAAAACCAATTAATCCGTTCCGGAAGTCAGAAAAAAGTAAAATAAAAGTCTTTTATGTGTTCAAAACACTTTATATACTGCACTTTAAAGGTATAAATACTGTACAGGGAAATGATTAAAAATTAATTCGTAAATGCATTGAAAACCAATTAATCCGTTCGTATTGCGAAAAAAATTTGTAAGCGCATTGAAAACCAATTAATCCGTTCC